AGCCAAATGTCTGACTTTCTCAAGCCAGAAGGCTGTTCCAAGCCTTGGATGACTTTCTCAAGCCAAACCAAGGCTTTTCCAAGCCTGTTGGTAGAGCTTTGGCTTTCCCAAGCCAAAGCAGCAGCAGCTATGGCCCTAGCTACCGACCTACTATGCTGCTGACCTGTGGTTAACTTGGAGTGTTTACTGTGTAGCTGTTCTGCTGCCAACTACTTCTAATATGGGGTGTAGCTGTTGTCCAGTGCAGTGTCCATGGGTGTACTATGTGGTCCTATCAGTGTGGTGCTGTTGGAGTGTGGTACTGTTGGTTTGTTCAGCTGATGCTGAGTGCAGCCCTCAAGCCAGAAAGGCTGCAGACAAAACATACCATTTTACCTAAAACACAACAGCTGCCCAACCTATACACCAGGTTGCCCAACCCTTTAGTGTCTTTTCCAAGACACTGTTTCAACCTATATAGTTGAACACCAAACTCATGCACCAAAACCAAGCCCATGCTCCCATTGCACACTCCACCCTTTTTCCTTTCCTTTCACACCAAAACTGCAATCCTGCTTTTGAGGATGCTGGGCTACATATCCTTTTCCAAGGACCCTACCTACAAGTTCCTACAGGTCCTTTTCCAAACCATGCATGGTACCTTTTCCAAAGCACCATGCATGGGTTCTTTTCCAAGAATCCCATTGTTGGTACCTTTTCCAAAGCACCATGTGTTCTTTTCCAAGAATCCCATTGTTCAGCAGCCATGCTTGTGGCACAGGTCTTCCCTGAGCTGCCTTGCCTCATCCTTGGTCAGCCAATCCTTTTCCAAGGCTGCCTTGATCTTGGAGATCACTCCATGGTACTGGGCACACCTGGCTGCTGAACATTCAACAATGAGGTGCAGCTTGCCACCATCTGTGGAGCCTTGCAGGTATGCCCTCTCAGGCTTCTTGGCACATGTCATCCTCAGCCTTTTCCAAGGCTTCCTGCAAGCCTTTTCCAAGGCTGCAGGCTTCTTGGCCATTGTCTTTGCAGTGGCCTTTGCCTTGGCTTTGGCCTTTCCCTTGGCCTTTGCCTTTGGCTTTTCCAAGCCAGGCCCAGCTGAAGAACTTGGTCGATACCCCAGGGCATTTTGCAAGTCTTCAGCCTCTGCAAAAAGCCTGTGCCCAGGCCTTTGCTTGCTCACTGGCAGCTTCCCTAGGGAGGGACCTTTTCCAAGGTCCTCTGGGCTACTTGCAAACATTACAGGGTAGCCCAAAGCATCCATAGAGACATCACTGCTCTGTTGCTTCAGCCTTTTGTTTTTCACTGCCTTTTCCAAGGCTGGTGCTGGTGGGTTCCCCTTCTTGCTTTGCTTTTCCAAGCCTGTTGGTAGGGACTCTGCCTTTTCCAAGACGACCATGGCTGTTTCCTTTGCCCCATCTCCCTTTTCCAAGGGAGGCAGCTCCATGAGCTTTAAGCTATCCAACAACATGGTGTACTCCTGCCTGTTCAGTTTGGCAGCAATGGGGCTCAAACAGCTGGCAACTTTGCGCACATGAGCCAAAAGGCATGTGAGCCTTTGCAGCTTCAGGTTCACCCACACAGCACCTGAGTGGTTGCTCTTGTTGAGCTCTGGCCTCTCAGTCAGAAGCGACAGCATGGCAGCCCTCAAGGGCTGGCCATGGATCTTTGCACAGGGTTCCACCCTCACCAGTTCCTTCCACAAGGGCATGCAGTGCACCAACCCTTTAGGATCTGGGGCCTGTGTAATGCTGACATGCTCATACCCACCCAGATCTGAGAGGATCCCCTCATGCTTTTCCAAGCACTTGTAGAGGCATGGTGCCTGGCCCCACCTCTGCCAGACATCTGGCCTTTTCCAAGACCAACTGGTCTTTTCCAAGACTGTATTTATGAGATCTTGTCTTGCTTTCTATATCTCTTGAGCAGCTGGACGCACATGCAAAAATAATGTCAGACAGGGTTGTCCAAATCAATAAAAAATCAATAAGAAAATCAATAAGAAAATCAATAAAAAAATCAATAAGAAAATCAATAAAAAATCAATAAACAAATCAAGAGAAAATATTGATTCTAATCAATATGAGAAAAATCAATATCTCAGAATCAATAAATATTGATTCTAATCAAGATACGATGCTCAGGGTCATTCCTGGAAAAAACTAGATCCAAGCATCCGGATAGCTGCAGCAACTCGTCATCTCGAGTTCACTGTCAGCCTTTTCCGCTCCGGATTCCACAAGAACTCTCTTCTTGTCTTCCATACTGAGTCGGGAACCACGAAGGATGATGTATGCTTGTACCTCGGACATATTGACCTTCTTCATCAACATTTCTGTCCAGACCGCTTCCGACCGGGCAATGTACGAATCTGCACTTTCGTCGGGCTTCTGGGCACACCTGAACAATGCTTTTTCAACTATATCGAATTTCTGTTCCAGATTCACCTGGCCGAACTGGCCGCCAACGATCTCTACGATCTTGGAGATGCTCTCAACTGTTCCTACGTAATTGGAGCTTTGCGAATGCTGAACCTTTACAATTCAATATAATTCGTGTTGCAAGCTCTGTCAACTTCCCTTCAGGCCAAACTTTCGTGAGGAGCTCGATCTTTTGGGACCATTGCTCGACGTTGTCGGTGGCTGGGTCAAACGTTGGGATCAATGATGACAGCTGATTGCTAGCTGAAGATGTACCACTTTCCAATGTTGCTGAACTCGTGGACTCTGGCATGATCACACCTGTTCGACAACACTGCTATCGTTTGGACTTCCCTGTCTGATCGCCCAGGTAGCTCCGCTACCAATCTCGAATCCACTAGGATTTCGGATTGGTAACCGCGACCGTCCGGTGATGGGCTCACAGAAATAAGATGCAGTTTCCCTGAAACTAGTGAATTCCAATGAATACCTGAAGGTCCGACCTTCTCCAACACCAAAGTGCCCTGCACCCTTCCTCCGCAGCCTTTTCCTCCTCGACGCCCTGCGTCACCCCTGGTCAACGATGGCTCGAACTGCAAACCACCCTCCCTCCCTGGGGGTGAACAAGCAAATGGCCGCAGGACAACAGGCTCGAAACATGTGACGTGCAGACCTCTGGTCGTTTGACAGAATCTATAATTTATATGTATGTATACATACAGTACACGGACGGACGGACGGATACCCATAGACAGGTGGACAGACAAACAGACAGACAGATAGCTAGCTAGCTAGGTAGATAGATAGATTGATTGATACATTGATAGACTGATATACAATTCTCCCCCGTGGTACCTATACTTTTCGTAAATGGAAGTACTGAGTGCAACTACCAAGGGAAGGACCACACATGTGTGCACATCACAGAATCAACAATAAATGTTTGGAGCATCAAGATGAACTATATGCTATTTCTTTCTGCCATGACGTATCTGCTGCTTATCTGCTTGTAAGGACCTGAAGCAAACCCCCACTGAAACCAAAATCTATCCAAACCCAAAAGCCTGGAAAGGCACCACCAAAACAATCCAAACCAATGAGGGCCTGCAAAAATCTGTATTGGTCATAGGTCCTGAGATGGGCCTGAAAACTCTGTTGTTTTGGTGTCCTCTCGAGGTTTTTGCAAGCCCTCATTGGTTTTAGCTGTGCTTGATTTGGATTGGCTTCATGGGTATTCTCAAAAGGTTCTAGTGACACTGCGTGTAAGCAGTTGTAAGAACAATACCTTTTGAAATGGGGAAGTGCGTAGTTTGATGTTCATCTGGTTGATGTAGAGGAGTTACAGTAGTTAGTTCATGTTCATTCGTTGCAATGAGTAGCAAACTGTCATTGCTGCATTTCGAAGAAACTGCATGAGTTCAGAAGATTGTATGGGCAAATTTTGCGTAAGCAAAGTAAGCATGGCAATCTGAGTACGCCTACTTTAATGTGGTAGCGGACAGTGGGAATTTGATGTTTACCCTTACGAACATGGTCATGCAGCAGCACACCAGACTCTGGTTGGATTGCCTTTTTTGCTGTATGAAACTACTGGAGCACTCAACAGCATCTACATCAAAGATCTGGACAGATCCCACCCTACAGGGAGATAAGGAGCAGCATCGTCAAGTAACACCTTTCCATGCAAATTAAGCAGCTGTTCAATTTGATGATTGGATTGCTGTAAGGACTAAATTAAGGGCTGGGTTCAACACCTGCCAGCAACTGGAGGAGTGATGCAAGACTCGCCTCCACTTGCAAGAACCATTTGCAAGACGTGTCAGGTCGCAAAAAGCCGGTCAAGCCGCCCCCGCAGGTATTCGGTCGGGTGAAGAACTTCTCCCCATCATTCCATCATTGAAAGGTAGTAAGTCTACAAGAGCGATGGGAGGCAAAGGTGGGCGGAAGACTTGGGAGAATGCAGATTAAAAGCTGCCTTGAAGTAAGCAAGGGGGGCGGATCGAACGGCGCAGTCTCATGACTGGGCGTTGAGAGCCAGCAACATGCAGTGAGTCTCATCCTGCACCTGCAGGTATTTGCGCAACTTCCTGAAGAAAAGTATGTCCGAAGCGTGAGTCGAGTGACATGTATTGTAAACTGAAGAACACACCTGAGACCTACATTCAGCAAAGGCACCACACATTATATAAACGTATGAATTCCGATGCATACGCAGCATGAAGGGGCCTCAATAATGCAAAGGAAGGAGCTCTGGCTCTTTGTAGATTAGAACTTAGAACAAGTTGATTCACCATGTTGATTCGCAGCTTCAGATTTGTGAGGCAAACGGTTTCATGCACACTGCCTTTGTTGCATGCCACGACCCCTTAATTCCGAGCAGATGTGTTCTTTGATGACGCGTTTGTTCAAAATATGTCAACAACTTCAATTGTTCAAATCATGTCAAACACCTGAACACCTCCATGAAGAGATTGTGTGTAATGTATATGAATACCTATATGTTCTGTGTGTGGACGTATACTGTACTGTCTGTGCCTAGTGGGCCAATGAAACAAATCTGAATTACGCAGTATTCAGTCTCCGGACTCCATCGGCCTTGTCCGCAATCTGTTTCGTTGGCCCCAAGCCAGTGGACTGGGCTGGAGGGTGCATAGCTGGCCTCAAAGGGTTGCTGAAGTTGCGACTCAAACATTATTCCACCTTCCAAAGCCACTCCACAACCAGAAACAATTGAAACAATTCTATTACTATAAGCAAGAACATGTGCAACATACACCGTTGGCGATCAGGTGGATTGGGCGACATCTTGCTTTGGGATTGGATGCATAAGCACTTTGAAGTGCTGCTGAATTCGGCCACCTATTGCTCCTGGTAGCGTCCTTGCTCCTAGTAGTACGGCCAGGAGCCCCTAGTAGCTTCTGTTTTAAGTTTTAAGTGCAAGTTGTAGTAATTACAAGCTACAAAAAGTACTGCTTCCGGGTCTCCCCCTATCAGCAAGACATTCGGCAATGGAAGGAAAGCATCCATTGTACGAGAGAATTTATCGGCCCAAGGAAAGCATCGTTGAGGGTCTAGGGTCTAGATTCTCTTTTCGCAGCATGTGTAGCAGTGCAGTATGGCCCAGTTCTGTTCCTGTTACTGGAGTTTGAATGGTCGTAAATCGGACCATACCTTGTCTATTGTCTACCTCTGGATTGCCACCAACCTGAGTGGTTGGCAACGCGTGTGTTGTGCTCTCAAGGTGTTACAGTCAGAACCTATGAAGCACACAAACAATGTTCAAAGCATTTGTGTGCGCAAACAAGTTGATGCACGACTCTCTCTCTCTCTGTCTCAACTATGTGGTTTTCGATACAAACGGAGGAGCCTTTCAGCTGTTATGGACGACTGCGTGGGGATGAACACAACAAAACAGCATGAACATATGTTCCGCTCAAACCCTTCGGCGTGGGCAGCACATGAAATGGCAGTAGTCCCAGTGACAGATTCTGCTCACATCTCCTTTGACCAGTCTTTGGCCTATCGTTAAGCCGTACACATGGCAGCAGCAAACCACGCGCCTGTGAGTAGTCATCGGAATATGACCTCGCCCTTCCCGCTGACGACAGCGGAGTTCCAAAAAGGGAAGACAAACTCAGCCGGCATGGAACTGACAAAAACTGAAACAATCCAACCGGCTGTCAGCTGTCTATGGATGTCTATGTCGTATTGTAGAATTGGAATCCATCAGCTCAATGAATATGCGGAATCTTCAAGAAAACAGGTGCGACAAAGGCTACAATATCAACAAAATATGGAGCGTGTATGTCTATAGTCAATTTGCTTTAATTTGTTTACAGACTGCCGTCACACCTTTTGTGCTGGTCAAGCAACAACTCTACATAGCTCACAGCCATACTGACCTCAGAAGTTTCAATACATGCCTTGATGGCTCAAACCAAGTCCACCTATTTGCCTCTTCAAGGCATTTTTGGTTGACCCACATCACATCCACATGATGTTCATACCTGTCACATTGAGTCCGACCTGGAGACATTTAAGATTGTACCGCGAAGTGCACAGGTACTTTTCAGCCAAAAGAGGGTCTTCGGTAGTGTACATGTTTCCATGCTGCTATGTCATGTCGAGTGCAAAAAGATCAGGCTTATCCCGAATGCACTCCCCCTTTGAACTTCGTTCAAAGCTCATGTGGGGCTTACTCGGCCAGTGGCCACTTCTTCCTATCACATGGGTATTGCTTGCGCAAAATCCGGTGTGCCTTTTGGCACCGGCTCAAAACCCTCATGCTTCTCAGACGTCATAGGTGTCCTCCTGCGACGCCCCGGACTCTGAAGCCGTCCGCTTCACATCTCGCAGGCCAATGACATCCCAGTCATTGAGCGAGCTTCGATCATCTGCAGTCATGTCGGAGGGCGGCTGCACTCCGCGCTCCACTGGCGCACCTGGAAGGCCTTGGCGGGCCATGGTTCCCAGCACAATTCTGCCCCTTTCATTCGAACCTCCCTGCGCATAGCCAGTCCTCAGGTTCGGTGGCAACACCGACTGTGATCGCTTTGCTGGCTGCCATGTTGCGCAATCGTTGACTCCAGAGTCGAGTAATTCGTTGTCGATATGTGGGCATTGTAGAGATGACAATGTCCCACTTCCGCTTGATTCCCTAGTAGGTGCCGGGGTGGCCACGTAGCACGGAACACCTGGTTGCGCCTCTCCACCAGTCGGGGTAGATCCCAGTGTCAATGTCAATTTCAAGCGCCAGCCTCAAGCCCTCTGCAGACTCCGAGCGCTCTGCCGGTGGCATAGGGGAGCGCTTTTGCGATCCTTTGCGGTCGCTTCCCATCTCCCTTTGCGCCCAAGCCAGGCCGTGGTCCCACAGCCGCTGAGCTTGATGCCGATGCCGTACTGGTCGTTGTAGTTTGGTGCTCTCATTTCTTGTGGTAGGCGCATATGCGTCTGGCGCTTCCGGATCGTCTTGGAAGCCCTGGGGTCGCTGCGCAGTACATAGTACGATGGCGCGGAGGTTCCCCGTCGTGGATCGTGGATTTCAAAGAAGGCGTACCCCGTCCATCGTCCTTCAACTTTGTTGTCTCGTCGCTCTTCTCGAGTTGGTGGTTCTATCCCCCGCAGCAGTTTGCACCACGATGTCCTTCGCTTTGTTCCACTCATCCTCAGACTTAGGGCTTCTGAGAATATGCATAGCTCCTGAATTTAAGAGCACTCCACCACCTTCCATCGACACTTTCGCCACCAATGCCCTGATCGCCGGCTTTTCCACCCTCACTGACCGCAACATAGCGCCACCACCACTCCCTCCAGGTGCCCCAGCAACTGTTTTCGTAGTGGTTTCACCTCCTTGTTCACTAGCATGGGCATCAGTCTTATTGATTTGAGGGTTGGATTTGTTCTTCCCCTTGCCCTTGCCCTTCTGGCCTCCACCACTATAATGGGTTTTGAGCTTGTGGACTTATAGTATCATTTACAACCTATGTATATAGGGTTATAACGTGGGTATCCTATGGTTATAAATGGGAAAGTTGTGATAGTTGATATATATGTTGGGGCACACTTGCAAATTAAATAGACCAACTTGAGAACTTATAACCGCCACATAGGGCAACGTAGCAAGTTAACTTACGAGCGTTTGTAAGTTCTGCTAAGTTCTGCGCGATGGCATGAACAAAAAATGCTTGTTTTCCACCGTCGGCCTTTGCTTGGTTCAAATGGTGTGGCTCGCCCACCTGTGTGCTCGTGGCTGCGCGCATGTGGCTCGCCCATGCAGAAGCTCGCGCGCCATGACGGAACGCGGGAAAGGTAGCGTGAGGGACGCGCACATGGGGCCGTTGCGGCTGCCAAATGGGCAGGGCACCTTGACGGCCTCTGACAGACATGAAATCTGGAGGAGGTACAAAGTGTCCGCCAGTGTGCGGTACCGCCAGCAGTGGGGCGAAAGATGTTTGTCGCTCTCTGGGGAGGCAGGAAATTTGAACGCAGCTCGCGACTATGCCCTGCAGAAGATCGATGACAATGGGGATGGTGGCTGTGGAGCCAGTCACAACGCAGCAGGTGCAGCAAGTGACCACCCAGCTGGGGCAGCTGGACCACGCTGTGAAGAACCACACTGGCATGCTGCAGTATTTGGAGACAAATGCGCAGCCAAGCTGGGCAAGCAGCGTCTGCAGCCAATGCAGCAGCTCTGGCGACCCAACAGGCTTGCCAGCGGGCTGTTGCAGAAGCAGCAATGACCGCTCACCGCCTGGCAAAGTCTGAAGACATGGAGGGCCAGGTGGAAAAGCTTGCGC